TGGGTAGAGTGCCATGGCATCACAGCTCACAGCAACCTCCAACTCCTGGGCTCAAGTGAGTCTCCTGCCTCAGCCTCCCAAGTAGCTGGGACCATAGGTGCCTGCCACAATCCCCAGCTATTTTTTGGTTGTAGCCGTCATTGTTGTTTGGTGGCCGGGCTGGATTTGAACCAGCCACCTTAGGTGTATGTGGCTGGCGCCTTGGCCGCTTGAGCCACAGGCGCCAAGCTACCCTTCTTGATTTTCAGCACTCTACTGTGGCTACCTTGCCTACTCTTATCTGATGACTTTTGCACTGAACTGTTGAGAAAGGGTCTGAAGAAGGACTCTGATAACTTTTTTTTTTTGGATTCAGGATCTCTTTACCCTAGGCTAGAGTGAGAGTGCAGTGGCGCCATCATAGTTCACTGCAGCCTCAAACTCCTGGGTTCAGGCGATCCTTTTGCCACAGCTTTCTGGGACTATAGGCACATGCTACCATAACCAACTAATTTTTCATTCTTTCTTTTGTAGAGATGGAGGTCTTGCTGGATTGCTGAGGCTGGTCTCAAATTCTTAGACTCAAGCAATTCTCTTGTGTTGGCCTTCTGGTGCTAGGATTATGGGGTGTGAGTCACTGCACCCAGCCTAATAATTTTTAAAATACAGACAGAAGTCCATTGTTAGTTTTATACCTAGCAACTTTTTTCTTTTCTTTTTTTTGAGACAGAGCCTCAAGCTGTCACCCTGGGTAGAGTGTTGTGGCATCACAGCTCACAGCAACCTCCAAATCCCTGGGCTTAAGCGATTCTCTTGCGTCAGCTTCCCAAGTAGCTGGGACTACAGGTGCCCACCACAACGCCCAGCTATTTTTTGGTTGTAGTTGTCATTGTTGTTTGGCAGGCCCGGGCTGGATTTGAACCTGCCAGCTCTGGTATATGTGGCTGGTGCCTTAGCCACTTGAGCTACAGGCACTGAGGCCCCCCCCCCACTTTTTTTTTTAAGACAGAGTCTCACTATATCACCTTTGGTAGAGCGACCTGGTGTCACAGCTCACAGCAACCTCCAACTCTTGGGCTTAAGCAGTAGGAATTCTCTTGCCTCAGGCTGCCAAGTAGCTGGGACTACAGAGGTCCACCCCAACACCTGGCTATTTTTTGTTTGTTTGTTTTGTTGCCATTGTTGTTAAGCAGGCCCAGGCCTGGTTTGAACCCACCAGCCCCTGTGCATGTGACTGACGCCCTAACCATTGAGCCACAGGTGCTGAGCCATTAGCTACTTCTTTTTCCAGATTAAGTTAACCCAGGGAAAAATTCTTATTGGCCTTTTAAAGATCATATACAGATGTTTAGATTTATATATTTGACTTTGGTTTACTTAGATATCCATATATAAACTCCCTGCCACTTCCCTCTTTTTTCCTCATTGCCTCCTGTTGCTGGTCAGTCCCTTTCACCTGCTCATTTGATTCTGTTCCTTCCATTTGTTTCTTCAGGGAACTGAGTTAGCACTTATGCTTTTTCCTCATATCTAAGCCTTTTTTCACCCTCACTTTCCCCTCAAGTTAGAAACATATTCAAGGTTCTTCCATCTTAAAATGAAAAATAGGTAAAATCTTCTTTTTTTATAATAGTCTCAAAATTCTTTCTCCCTTATTTCATAGCCAATGTTCAGACTTTTATAAGTGTTCTTAGGGTAAGATCGTGAGTGGACTATGAGGGGTTAAGTCTTCACAACAAGATAAGACTTCTTATGGATTTTAGGAAGAGAATTGTAAATGTTGAGAAATAATTTTGCTTTCCTTTATTTGGTTCTTTCCTCTTTTCCTACAGTTCTTATTTGTTACATGCACACCAAAATTCATTCAGTTGAGATGTCTCCTTTATCAATAGTAACAGCCCTGGTGGACAAGATTGGTAAGTGTTATCATTTTCTATGCCTACTTGGAATTCTTAGTAATTACAAGATATTGAGATTGTAGGAAATACTCTCCTTTTATGGGGAATTTTAAGATATATAGGTATATGAAGATGTCTAGAGTGCTATATACTAGGGTATTTATTATAATTAGGAAGAAGGGTTTTGCATGATTTCAGTTTTATTTTTAATATTCTTTGTATTGTCTACATTTAAAAGAAAATATGTATTTCTTTTGCATGTCAAAAAGTTATTTTAGTTTGAAGAAATAAATGTAGTAGAATTTTCCATAATTTCAAATGAAATTGTTCATGCACAGTACAGAAAATTTGAGGTATGATTGGGACTCTGATTAATTTTCTGTTTTACAGATTTGTGTAAGAAAAGCTTAAGCCCAGAACAGGACATTAAGTTCAGTGGCCACGTTAGCTGGGTTGGGAAGACATCCATGGAGGTGAAGATGCAAATGTTCCAGGTATATAGGTGCTTAAAGACTGTCCACTGTTCAAATGTAACCAACAAGTCTCAGTGCAAGAAAAGGTTATTTACCTGCTTATCCATAGGGAGGTATATTGTTCACTGCTTCTAGAAAAATAATTGAGACCTGATGTCACACAGGTGGAGGGTTGTTAATATCTTCCTCCTGAACAAAGACTGACATATTTTGTGTTAACATTTTGTATTATTACTTTCTAATCACATACAGCTCCATGTTAAGGAGCTTATTTCTAGTTCTGCCCAGGAGAACTTCTCAAAAGTCTAAGTTATGGTAGGCATGAATGGGATTGATCCCTGTTAGTTTCCTTAAGGCTGTGGTACAATTGGCCCCTGTATCTATGGGTTCTGCATCTGCAGATTCAACCAACCATGGATTGAAAATATTTATGAAAAAGCCAATAAAAATAACAATGTAACAATAAAAATACAAATAAAACAATATAGTATAACAGCTATTTACATAGCACTTAGATTGCAGTAGGTATTTTAAATATAGTAGAACCTCCATAGCTGACCACCTACCTTCACTCACCACCTCCTTAAGTTGACCTAATTTTCAGAGACTGAACATGTACCACATGTATGTATCAGTACAGTAGGCCTAGTTCCTTATGTTGACCACCTTGGTATATTGACCAGTTTGTTACAGTTCCTTGGGTGGTCAACTTACAGAGGTTCTACTGTAATCTATAGATGATTTAAAGCAGCGGTTCTCAACCTGTGTGTTGCGATCCCTTTGTAACAATGAAAATACATCACAGCATTAGGAAGGTTGAGAAATATAGGAGGATATATAGATGATGGGGAAATAACTATGCCATTTTAAATAAAGGGCTTGAGATCTGTGGAATTTAGTATTTGTGAGAGGTCTTGGAACCAATCACCCATGAATACTGAGGGGACAATGTACCACAAAGTACCACAAACTGATAGCTTTAAAACAGCAGAAATTTATTATCTCACAGTTTGAAGACTAGAAGGTGTGTGAGCAGAGCCATGCTCCCTGTGAAAGCTGTAAGAGGAACCCGTCCTTGTCTCTTCTTCACTTCTGGTGGTTTGCCTGCAGTCCTTGGTGCTCCTTGCCTGGCAGCTACAGCACTTCATTCAGTCTCTGCCTCTGTTATTACATGGTGTTCTCTCATGTGTCTCTGTCTCTGTGTTTCTTCTTTTCTCATTAGGACACTAATCATATTGGATTAAGGGCCCACCCTACTTCAGTATGACCTCATCTTAACTAATTATGTCTGCAACGACCCTATTTCCAAATAAAGTCATATTCACAGGTATGGGGGTTAGGATTTCCACATCTTTTTGCGGGACACAAATTCAACACTTAACTGATTTGGACTATTGCAGCAGTTAGGAACAGCCCTTCTAATAAGCAAAACTCAGACTACTGTTACAAATGGAGACATTTGACAAGAAAAAGTACCTCAAAGAGAATAACAGCAGAGAATCAAATAGTTTAGAGTATGGCTACGATTCCATTGTGGAAAAGTTACTTAACCCTTTGATTGTGGAACACTCAGAAATGAAACATGCCAACAGGCAGCATTCACAGCAGATGAACATCTTTGAATACATATGTTTTGTAGTCAAAAGGTTAAGAATAACTTATTTAATTATGCCAGGGTATTCAGCAGATGTTATTCAGATGCATTTTTTTCTGTTATGGAATTATGAAGCATTTCACTTTTTGGTTAAAGAAATTTCATACTCTCAGAAAAAGTCTGAAGCTGCCTCTGTAAGAAATTATTTGTCAAAATGGGTAAGTATTTTTTTTTATTTAATACTGTATTTAAGTGATGGAATCTTTGAACTCTCATGTTGATGTAACTGACAGTAATACAGTTTTTAAAACAAAACAGTTGCTAGGATGCTCATCTGATTTGTCCACACTCTTTTTAAAAATATGCTTGGTTAATTTCTAGCCTACTTGGTACCATGTGCAGCAGGTTTCTGGCATAGAACCTTCTTTCTAGAGAATCGTCAGTAAATAGATTAAAAAAGACATACAGGAATTACTGAAAGAGAGGGCCAAAATTGATATTAGACAAGTAAACACTTTTGTTTTAAATTTGCATTTCTCACTGGTCTTTTGACTAATAACTCAAGACTTGAGTGATCCTTTCGATCCCTGACAGGTGATACAGGGAGTGATAAGAGCTCTGCCCCTGGTTTGGGTAGATTCTAATCCCAGCTTTAATGCTTATTAAGCCATGTGACTACTTACCTTTTCTGAGCCTCTTGTTTTCTCAAGTATAATATGAAAATAGTAACAGTGTTATGTTATCTGGTTGTGATAAGGAGAAATGAGGGGCAGAAAGCCCACTCACGTGAGGAATCTGGTATAGTGCTTCTCACATAGTAACCACTGTTGCCAATAATATTAATTTATTAATACTACTGAGTTGGTTACAAATCTTTATTCTAGGCTTGACCTTCACACCCACCTTTCTGGATGTTCATTATATTTCTCCACTTAGATGTGCTGCTGCTATTTCAAGTTCAAGTACGTTCCAAGCTAAATGCATCAGATCCTGATCCTTCTCCAGCCTCCCCTTTGCCAGCCTCCTGTTTCCCTTCAACTTCAAACCTTTGAGACAGCTTTAATTTTTCCCTTTCCTATGTAGCCTTTTGCCAAGTCTTGCAAATTCATCACACATCAACTTATCAGAATCCTTTTGTTCCCATCCCCTTGGCTCTATGTTTTATTCAAGTCCTTGCTGCCTCTTGAGTGCCTTAACTGTATTTTAATTAATCATCCTTCCTCTCATCCTCTCTCTGTTAATTTTACATATATATATATAGAGAGAGAGACAGAGTCTCACTTTACCACCCTTGGTAGGGTTCCGTGCGATCACAGCTCATAGCAACCTCCAGCTCCTGGGCTTAGGCAATTCTTTTGCCTCAGCCTCCTGAGTAGCTGGGACTACAGGCACTTGCCACAACTGGCTATTTTTTGTTATAGTTTGGCTGGGGCTGGGTTCAAACCCACCACCCTTGGTATATGGGGCCAGTGCCCTACCCATTGGACCTCAGACACCACCCAGTTTTACATATTTTTAGCAGATAAATTTTCCAATGCTGATCTTGGAAAATGGTAATTTGTTATCTGTGGATTAAAGTCTAAACTGTTTGACTAATTTTAGGTGCTCCATAAACTAGCTCTAACCTGCCTTTCTAATGATATTCCCATTGACTTACCATTTAGAGTTCACAGCTAGACACTGAGCATCATAAGAATAGGGAATTTTTGTTTTGAGACAGGGTCTCAAGCTGTTACCCTAGGTAGAGTGCTGTGACATTACAGCTCACAGCAACCTCCAACTCTTGGCCTTAAGCGATTCTCTTGCGTCAGCTTCCCAAGTAGCTGGGACTACAGGTGCCTGCCACAATGCTCAGCTATTTTTCTGTTGCAGTTGTCATTGTTGCTTTACCTGGCCCAAGCCAGATTCAAACCTGCCAGCCTCGGTGTAGGTGGAGCCACCAGAATAGGGAATTTTTTATTCTGGCATTCCTAGTGCTTGGCACTAGTAAGTATTTATTATAATAAGCTGGTTTAAATAAAAATAAGTAATGAAAGTATAAAATCTGAAGTGCTCCAAAATCTGAGACTTTTTTTTTTTTTTGTCAAGACAGAGTTCTACCCTGTGCCCCTGAGCAGAGTGCAATGGCGTCATAACTCACTACAACATCAGACTCAGGCTGTGGGCATCCTGCTGCCTCAGTCTCTGAAGCCACTGGGATTATAGGCTCTTGCCATGGTACCTGGCTGGGTTTTTCAATTTTTTTCATGAGTCAGGGTCTCGCTCTCACTCAGACAAGTCTCCAACTCCTGAGCTCAAGTAATCCTCCTGCCTCAGCTGCCCACAGTGCTGGGATTAGAGGCATGAGCCTGGCAAATCTGAGACCTTTTGAGCACTGACCTGAAGCTGAAGAGGAAATGCTCATTGGAATATTTTGGATTTTGGGTTTTCAGATTTAGGATGCTCAACTGGTAAAGAGTCAATAGAAATATACCCAAATAAGAAAACATCTGAAATCTGAAAACACTTAATGATCATAAGCATTGTGTAGGGGGATACTCAACCTGTAGTGGAGTGAATATCATTGCTTATGCTTCCTTTGCCTGAAATTCCTTGGGGTCTGTCTTAGTGCATTTTCATTCCTTCCCCCTGTGCTTCAGGGTTAATTCTGGCCCGACCACTTCCCTGATCCTTCCAGCTTATAGTACCCGTTCCTTCCCCGGGATTCCTTCCTTGGTATTGTGTCTCTGACCCTCTCTCCTCATACCTACTACTCTTTGTCCTCCAGAGCTTTATATGAACATATCTTTTCTCTTCCACTAGACTGTGCTCCTCAATAACAGGACCTGGGTTTAAATCACCTAGCCTACTTCCTGACATCCATTCATTTAACATTCATATAGCAATTATTTATTGAGCACCTATTTTGTGCTAGGCTTATGGTAGTGAGCAAAACTAAGTTCCGTTCTCTTGGAGTTTGCATTCTAGTAGTGCTCAAGAATTACCTGTCTCATTTGTTCATTGGTAAACATTGATCAGGTGTCTGCTGTCTGCCAGTCTTCATGCTAAGTTCTGGTATACAAATGTGAAGAAAATGGTCTTTGTCTTTAGGGAGCTCATGGTGCAGCAGAGAGACAGCCACATAAATAAATGATTGTGACATAGCATATTATTATATGGTATTTCTCAACACAGATGCTACTGATATTTTATGTGGGAAAATTCTTTGTTTGGCAGGCCTGTTCCCTGCAGAGTGAGGTTCCACCCCCCCACCCCACCCCCGTGCCTCAAGTCATGTGACAAACAAAACCACCCCTACACTTTTGCACATACTTCCTACAGGAGTGGTATTTACCTCTCTTATTAATACATTGAGAACCATTGTTAAGGGAGGATTTTTTTTTTCCATTAAAGTAGCTGAATGAAGGAGGGAATGATGAACTTGGCCTGGGAAATAGGGATAGGTCAGGGGAGGGGAGGATAATCTTAAAGTGTAAGGCTGCTGGAGGCGGCGCCTGTGGCTCAAGGAGTAGGGCACTGGCCCTATACCAGGGTGATGGGTTCAAACCCAGCCCGGCCAAAACTGCAAAGCAAAAAACAAAAAACAAAAAAAAAAAGAAAAGAAAAAGAGTAAGGCTGCTGAGGAGGGCATCAGGCCAAGGCACTGATGAGAGGTGATCAACAGCTTGCTATATCCCAGTGTGTTAGCTGTGGCTAGAGAAAAAGGTGCAGGTATGAGGGCAGTATTTGCTGGACAACTGGAAAGAAATCCTGGGCTCTGTCATGGAGGGATTTATATGCCATGCTAACAGGAAGAAAGGTAGAACTAGTGAAAGGTTTGAATAGGTGAGTGGCATGAGATGGATGAGACTGTCTCCACAGTTGAGGGGGAAGGCAGTAAGGGCTGAACAGGTAGTGATCAGGCTTGTATCATCTGTTGAGGAGGGAACTGAATATACCTTCAGGCTGTAAATTCTGTCACTACTTTATGATATGACTTTCCTGGAAATAGAAACTTCTAGGGGAGAAAGAAATACCTTAAAAGTTCAGACACGGGTGCATGGTAAATATAGGTTGAGTGTCTCTTATCCAAAATGCTTGGGATGGGAAGTATTCCTGATTTCAGAATACTTGCATCATGTTTACTGATTAAGCATTCTTTTTTTTTTTTTTTTTGAGACAGAGTCTTACTTTATCTCCCTCAGTAGAGCGCTGTGGCATCACCGCTGACAGCAACCTATAACTCCTGGGCTTAGGCGATTCTCTTGCCTCAGTCTCCCAAGTAGCTGGGACTATAGGTGCCCACCAGAATGCCCGGCTGTTTTTTTGTTGCAGTTTGGCCGGGGCTGGCTTCAAACCCTCCACCCTTAGTATATGGGGCCCACATCCTACCCACTGAGCCATAGGTGCCACCCTGATTCAGTGTTATTAATCCAAAAATTTTTGAATATAAGGGCAATCAAAAACTTTCAGATTTTGAAAAAAATAAAAAGCAAACAAAATTTTGGAATATTTTGGATTTTTGGATTAGAGATATTCAACCTATGTTTTACTTAATCCATAGAATCATTTCTGATTTTCTCCCTTCCTGAGAGCTCCTGTGTTCAGCTAAGGAGGCATAAACATGTGCTGGTAATGTTGGCATGTTACATTTCCCTGAAAATACTAGTGTTCATGAGCATAGCAGGTGATCCATTTGGGTAGACATGCCCTTGGGAGGTCAGCTGACCCTGAAGGAAGCCTGGGTTCTGTAGGATATGGGCAAGTTAAATGCGATGATGCCCTCTGTGACTCTTGCCCATCCCAGCATATCTTGCACAGTGCACTGTTTGGGTTTTGAGGTGTCTTACTCCTCGGCTAGACCACAGGCTCCTTGGTCATCCTGCCATTCCCAGAACCTAGTGCTGTGCCTGGCTCAGGGTAGGCCTTCAGCAGATGTTGGTTAATGAGTGCACTTCTCCCCTTTTTCCAATTTCAGACTTTTTCAAAACATGCATGCTGCTTGTTCGAATTGCAGTAGGTCTATCCAGTGAATGAATGCATTTCTCATATCTGGCATTTTCTTTTCTTGTTCTTTAGTTGCATGGTGATGAATTTTGTCCTGTTTTGGATGCAACATTTGTAATGGTGGCTCGCGATTCTGAAAATAAAGGGTAATTGCTGTTTTTTTGTAATTATTTTGAAGAATTTCAAAGGTACGTAATACTGGAGAGATTATAATGTCTATGTACTTGTCACCTGGACTTAACATTTTTAATTGTAATAACATTTTTTCCATTTTTTTTGTTTCATCTGTTTTTTTTTTTTCTTTAAAGAAAATTTATAGTATCTTGGCTTGGCACCTGTAACACAGTGGTTATGGCACTGGCCACATGCAATACACTGAGGCTGGAGGGTTCAAACTGGCCCGGGCCAGCTAAAACAATGACAATTGCAACAACAACAACAATAAAATAGCTGGGCATTGTGGTGGGTGCCTGTAGTCTCAGCTACTTGGGAGACTGAGGCAAGAGAATCGCTTAAGCCCAAGAGTTTGAGGTTGCTGTAAGCTGTGACTCCAAGGCACTCTACCCAGGGTGATAGCTTGAGACTCTGTCTCAAAAAAAAAGAAAAAGAAAGAAAATTTATAATATCTTAAAGCAAATCCCATACATAATGACATTTTATGCTTAAATACTTTAACGTAGGCATCTTTTTAAAAATGAAGATACTCTCTTAAATAACTATATTACCATTATTATACCTAAAAAATAATTCCTTAACATATTCTAGTGTTCAGTTCATGTCTGATTTTCCCCCAAATATATTTTGAATGATTTAAGTCAGGATCCAAATAAGGTACACATTGGCCAGATGTAGTGGTTCAGGCCTATAGTGCTGCCACTTTGGGAGGCTGAGGAAGGAGGATTGCTTGAGGCCAGAAATTCAAGACCAGCCTGAGCAACATTGTGAGACTCTGCCTCTACAAAAAATTAAAAAATTAGCTGGGTACAGTGACAGGTGCCTGTAGCCCCAGCAACTCAGGAGGCTGAGGTGGGAAGATTGCTTGAGCCCAGGAGTTTGAAGTTGCTGTGAGTTGTGAGGACACTACTGCACTCCATCTCTGGCAAAAGAGCAAGACCCCATTTCAAAAACAAACACTTAACCAGGGTGAGCCCAGTGGCTTATGCCTGTAATCCTAGCATTCTGGGAGGCCAAAGTTGATACCTGCTCTCAGGAGTTTTAAGACGAGCCTGAGCAAGAGTGAGACCCCATCTCTAAAACTAGCCAGGTATTGTGGAGGGTGCCTGTATTCTCAGCTACTTGGGAGGCTGAGGCAAGAGGACTGCTTGAGCCCTGGAGTGTGCGGTTGCTGTGAGCTATGACTCCACAGTACTCTACCAAGTGCGACAAAGTGAGACTCTGTCTCAAAAAAACAAAACAAAACCCAAAACAAAAACAAAACCCAAAATAAAACCAAAAATCTAACCAAGCAAATAAACCAAAAAGCCCCAAATAAGAACCACATATTACATTTGATTTTTATGTCTCTTAAGTCTTATTTTTTGCTAACAGTTTTATTGAGATATAATTCACATACTATAAAATTGACCCAATAAAGTGTACAATATAATAACTTTTAATATATTCAGAGTTGTACAGTCTCCTACATGTGTTTTTTTTTTTTTTTTTGAGACAGCATCTCACTCAATCACCCTGGGTAGAGTGCCATGGCGTCACAGCTTGCAGCAACCTCAAACCGTTGGACTCAAGCAATCCTCTTGCCTCAGTCTCCTGAGTAGCTGGGACTACAGGCTCCCGCTACTATACCCACCTAGTTTTTCTATTTTTAGTAGAGATTGGGTCTCACTCTTGCTCAGGCTGGTCTCAAACTCCTGAGCTCAGGTAATCCACCTGCCTCGGCCTCTCAGAGTACTAGCATTATAGGTGTGAACCACCATGCTTGGCCTATTTAGATGTTTTCAGAATAACGAGTTGGTTCACTAGCTACCAATGACATGAATAGATGATTGATTTTAATGTGTTTCATGTTTATATCTGAGTCATGGCACCAAGAACGTGTATATTAAATGTATTTCAGTAAATTATAGTCATTATTCTTCCTGATGCTCAAGATGTCATCTTTTGTCAGTGGGGACACCTCTAAGCTGGCAACTGTGGCATTTCCACCCATCTCTGTTAGTCTTTGATACCTTCTCTCTCTCTGGTGCAACATAATGTAACTTGGACTTATCTTATACATTTCCTACCCTGGGCTTGGAATCTGCCATTACTCTGAGGAGTCTTACTGTTCCTTTCCCTGGGAACTGATACTTATACACCAAAATCTGGGCACTGGAATGGTGTATTGTTGTAAGTTTGTCATTGTTTCTAGGTCTTTTCAGTGGACAGAGCCAGGATGTATGTTAAAAAAATAAAAAGATCCATTAGTTTATATGGTGATTTATTATGGTCATCCAAGACAGATTTAACCATACAGACTTTAACTTATTTGACTTTATTCTTTTTTTTTTTTTTTTTTGAGACAGAGCCTCAAGCTGTCCTCCTGGGTAGAGTGCCATGGCATCACGCTCACAGCAACCTCCAACTCCTGGGCTCAAGCGAGTCTCCTGCCTCCGCCTCCCAAGTAGCTGGGACTACAGGCGCCCGCCACAACGCCCGGCTATTTTTTGGTTGCAGCCATCATTGTTGTTTGGCGGGTCCGGGCTGGGGATTAGAACCCGCCACCTTAGGTGTACGTGGCTGGCGCCTTAGCTGGTTGAGCTATAGGCGCTGAGCCGACTTTATTCTTTTTATGTTAAATTGAATTCTTGGGCTCGGTGCCTGTACCTCAAGTGGCTAGGGCGCCAGCCACATATGCCAGAGCTGGCAGGTTCGAATCCAGCCCGGGCCTGCCAAACAACAATGACAACTACAACCAAAAAATAGCCAGGCATTGTGTGGACACCTGTAGTCCCAGCTACTTGGGAGGCTGAGGTAAGAGAATCGCTTAAGCCCAGGAGTTGGAGGTTGCTGTGAACTGCGATGCCATGGCACTCTACCCAGGGTGACAGCTTGAGGCTCTTGTCTCAAAAAAAAAATTGAATTCTTGGTTCCTAACAAAAGTTACACCAGAGGCATCTAAAATGAAAGTATCTCATTATAGGGGCGGGGCGGGAAGGAATGTTACAAGCTTGACCTTAGTACAAGATGGAGTTTAGAAACCTATGGGAAATCTTGTTTGTAGAAATTTGACTTAGGAGTCTATAAATATGCACATTCACTGTCTTTTAAGACATTAACATTTTTTTTTGAAACAGTATCTTATTCTGTTGCCAGGGTAGAGTGCCCTGGCATCATAGCTCATAGCAACCTCAAGCTCTTGGGCTCAAGTGATCTTCTTGCCTCAGCCTCCCAAGTAGCTGGGACTACAGGTACCCACCACAAGGCCTGGCTAGTTTTTCTGTTTTTAGTAGAGGTGGGGTCTGACTCTTGCCAAGGGTGATCTCAAACTCCTGAGCGTAAAGGATCCTCCTACCTCAGCTTCCCAGAGTGCTAGGATTAAAAGTCATGAGCCACTGCACCTGGCCTAAGACATTTTTGAAGAGTCCAAGGAAATTGTCTTGTAGAATGTTCTGCAACCTGAATTTGACTGTTTCTTTATGGTTAGAACATGTGGCAGGTTAAACATGTGGCAAGCAGCAGTATCCTCTTTATAATGTGAACTTTGTGGTGTATAGGTAAGTCCGTAACCAGAAGACGCGAATTGTTCCCATGTTCATGTGTAAGGCAGGCAGTAAGCCTTACCCAAAATGAACAGCAGAAGACTTTAAAACTAGCAGGTAATTGTTCATCTTCAAGTTCTTTTTAGATAATGGCACATCTTAACTTAAACTGTATTCTTGTCTTCTCTTCTCTTTAGGCCGGCATTTGTAAATCCACTCATCCTTGAAAGCCCAGAGGAAGAAGAGCTCTTTAGACAAGGAGAATGTACATTAATTTGTTTATAATAATAAGAGAAAATTGAAAAGTACATTAATTATGCTGCACAGTAGATTAATTAAGATCATATATGGACTCTTCATACCACTTAATGTCTTAGTCATACCAAGATTTTATTGAAATTAAAATTTTTTTTTGTCCTTTGGAGTCCATATTTTAAACAGTTTTATTGATCAGACAGTATTTATTAAGTGAAGTAATTTGTTTCCTCAGTTTTAATGAAATGGGAAATGCATCTTAATGGGGTCACTGCCATTCGGGATTCTAGATCAGGATAATAAGTGGTCTCTTACTGAGCTGATATAATTTTCATCTGAAAGGCCTATTGTAGCCTTCTCTTGGATATTTATAAAATTTTTGGTGGTATTTGAAATCTTGAAATACTACCTTTGTAGGATCCAAGGCACCCCAGGTCAGGGTCACTTGTGTATAATGTGATTTCCTAATCATTGCTCCTTATTCTCCCATGTTCCAGTGAACAAGGGGAGAAGAATTGCCCTCAGTTCCACATCATTACTGAAAATGGCTCCCAGCGCGGAGGAGAGGACCACTATACATGAGATGTTTCTTAGTACACTAGATCCAAAGTAAGTTAGGATGGTGATGCTTGGGATGCTTTCCCAAGTTGGGAAAGCATTTAGACCTTGGCCTTCTCCAGAGCCACATCTGCCTGCGTGTTTTGGGTGTTATTTGCAAATGTTTTTACTTTTCAGGAGTGAAACCATGGCATTAACAGGGTCTCATAAATCTCCATTTGTACAGGACTATAAGTTTTCAGAGTCGAATTTTGCCCCCTAATGCAGTGTGGATGGAGAATTCAAAACTGAAGAGCTTGGAAATTTGCCACCCTCAGGTATTATAATTCAGTGAGAAATTTTCTGAATAGGATAGCGTGCATTCATAATATTTGTCCAAGATTTGACATACCCTTGAAATGACTTTTGTTACAGAACATTGCTAATTCCTTTGTTCCGTATATGAGAGTGGCCATAAGTTTGTATTGATTAATGATTTATTTTACATCCTGTAGGAGCGGAACATTTTCAATCGCATCTTTGGTGGTTTCCTTATGAGGAAAGCATATGAACTTGCTTGGGCTACTGCGTGTAGCTTTGGGTGAGTTAGATTTAAGGCATTCTTAACTTTTGAGAAGCACTTTATACCATACTACTCCACTGAAATGAAGCATTTTGAATCAGCCTGTATGTGTTTGGGAATATGTTATTTTTAAATATATACTACATTGATACCAGCTGGGTTTGGTCTTCATTTTAGAAGTCTGATGCTTTTTCTAAGTTAGCACATTAAAGAACTACTGAGAAAATACAGTGGTAGTGTAGGGAAATATATATACTAGTTTTTGTTCTGTTCTGATCATAGTGGTGTCTCTTACCATTCCTTACTGCTATAATCATTTCCCCCTTCTCAGAGTTTATTTTTGTTCATTTTTATTTTGCTTCAGCTGGTCGTTAGGGAAAAAATTTAGATCATCTAAATTTTGAAATTTTCCCCAATAGTGGTTCGCGACCATTTGTGGTGGCAGTGGATGACATCATGTTTCAGAAACCTGTTGAAATTGGCTCATTGCTCTTTCTTTCTTCACAGGTAGGTGTGTGATGAAAGATTAAATTCAATTTTGTTGCCATTTTGACTTCAAAGAGAAGTTTCTATATCTTAAAGACACTGTTTCTTTTATGATTGCCTTTTTTCCTCTAATATAGTCTACAATTGACTAACTATAGTGTCTATAATCTATTAGGTTTGCTTTACTCAGAACAATTACATTCAAGTCAGAGTACACAGTGAAGTGGCCTCTCTTCAGAAAAAAGAGCATACAACCACCAATGTCTTTCATTTCACGTTCATGTCGGAAAAAGAAGTGCCCTTGGTTTTTCCCAGAACATATGGAGGTGAGCTATGATTATTGCTTGTCCCTAATGAAGGGAAGAACTTTATTTATTTATTTGAGACAGAGTCTCACTTTGTCACCCTCGGTATGGTGCTGTGGTGTCACAGCTCATAGCAACCTCAAACTCTTGGGCTTAAGCGATTCTCTTGCCTCAGCCTCCCAAGTAGCTGGGACTACAGGCACC